TATATGTCATGGGTTTGAAGCTCTAATGTGTTTTTTACTATAATTTTATTTGTAAAGATATGCAAATCGGCCACAAAATTATTTTTTGCTTGCAGTCTTCGAAAACTCAGGACCGACTCTGGTGATAATAGGTGGCTCAATAAGGCCCTAAAATTAGTATTTTCATGGTCTCAAATATTTTTAGTCTCTAAAATTAATAAATATTTTTTAAAAATGTTATTATACAGTTAAATTGTTTAATAAAATAAATATATTCTTTTTTTTTACCAGAGTGTGTTTAAGATACGGTACGTTTTGATTTATTTGAATATCACTCTACCGACCATTTGACTTTTTATATTTGACTTTAGCATTAGAAAACTTAATCAATTACAAGACTATTGATTAAATTCCATAAATCAGGCCCAAGTCGTTAAAGTTTGTTGATCTAATACATGGACAGAGGATGTGATTCTCAAAACCAGTAAACCTTAGGATAAGACTGTAAGGGAATTGTTGTTTTTATCATTGTTTCGGAGGACTGGGGGTGTTTGGGTTCAGGAGAGGTTATCATGAACCATTCGGCCTTTCAGTATATATATTTGAAATATTCAGATGGAAAAAAAATAAATTTATAGGAAAAACTTATTAAAAACAAAGATCAAACTGAATCTTGTAGAACAACAAAACATCACCATCATCCGATTAGAGGACTGCTAAGGAAATAACCAAACAAAGATTTTTATTTTATTGGAAGACAAAAGCAGAACAACTTATCAAAACAAAGATCAAACTTGATCATGCAGAAGAAGACCAGTTCTTCATCATCCCACCTTAAGACTGTTAAGGACAGGGCCATCGGGACTGGTCCCGACAGAAACACGCAAAAGGACATGATTACAACAATTGACGAGCGGCACAGCAACGTTTTCAGGGATTAGAATAACAGTAACATGTAGATTGTCATATTCTATTATTCTCTTTGCTACACCCCCACTTACTCCATTTAGTTCTGGCCATACCAACTTCATCCCTATACACAATAAATTCAAATTAATGTTGTAATCTACAATATAAAATGGTATTAGTTATCGCTATGATTCAATATTTTGTTAACAAAAAAATTATTATAGGAAGTTTACTGATTTAATAAATGGGGGTTTAATATATTTTTCCATTTTTATTATAAAAGTCATAATTTATCTATATATATATATATATATATATATA